AGATTCAGAGGGGTTATTGAAAAATAGGGAGCAAAATGGAGAGAAAATTTGTACCAAGAATGGCCAGATTATATAGAGGAATAAAGAAATGAAAAGAGCCTATTCAGGGGTCAGAGGACCCATGTTTGAATCCAAACCCTGCCACTTAACCTGGATGACCTTGGGTAAGTCTTTGGGCTTTGATTTCCATATTTGTCAAATGAGAGAGATTAGATGGCCCCTGAAATACCTTCCAGGTTTACATTGGTGATACTAGGCGCAGTGAAACAGACATTTTGTTAAGTCCAGTTTTCTTGACTAGATTGAGGTTTACTTCTTTAGATTACAAAATGTAGAGAGGCAATGAAGGGGCAAGGTTGTATGGCAGTGGTAGTATAATTAATGGAGTACTTGCCCTTGAGTCAAGAAAGTTCAAGTGGGTTTAAATCTCACCTGACCCTTATTAGCTAAGTAACTCTGGGCAGGTCATTCAATTGCTGTGTGCCTTAGGCAGCTTAATAGAATTTTTCTGTCAGTGAGTTCAGAGGGATGTCTACCTCAAGCATGTGAAGACTTTCCAGGGAGGAATGGGGAATGACAACAGTTTGTTATAGTGGCCATGAAGGCAGCTGAAGCAGATGTTGTAGAATGCTTAGAGCTTGGTCAGACATCAGGGATGCCAAGGTCATCCGCTGCATCCTGGAACCAGCACCGGTTGTCTTGACTTTTGTCCTGCCACTGGATTTCGATGACTCTGGAAGAGAGAGTGAGTGAGAGAGTGCTGATGACTTTACACAGCTCTGCCTCTATGATGCCAACAATTCATCTGTATGCCAAATCAGAATTTAAAAAGGAAGAAAATGTGTGAAACAGCCCACCAAAGGCAGACTTGTTCAGATGAAGGCGCAAATAAGTTAATCAAAAGTAACTTAACCTCTGGGCCTCAGTTTCCTTATCCACAAAATCAGGGGGTTTATTCAATGATGCTCTGAAATCCCTTCTAGCTCTGAATCCCTGATCTCATGATCCCAATATCTCATTTGATATGTCTCTGAGCCAGGTCTCATTGACAAACCTACACTTTCCCCTCCTTTCCTCTTTCATAAACTCACTATTTTCAGATTATAATTCCATTGTTTGTGCTGGGATTGCATGAGTCCTTTGTGATAAGTTTTGTATGTTCAGTGTTGCAAGGTCTTTTATTTGTTCTCTCATTCTTTTGTGCTGCCAACATTGGACATCAGCCTGCTGATAGGTGAAAAAGCCATGGTTTCCTTTTTTGGAGCTGGACGGCAATTCAAGGGTAATTGGGAGCCCTTTGTAAAACTCTGCTTTACATTCCACTAGAAATGTCAGGGGGCTTAAACAAGTCAGTATGCCTTTAAAAATATCAGCTTTTCTTTTTCATGCTTGTGCATATCTTTACTAAGAGATATGCTTTTAACATGAAAATCATTTATTAAATTCTCATTAGTGGGATAAGGATTTCATTAAAACTTCCTTTAAAAGAACAGGAGTCATGGAAATGTGAGGTCAAAGATGATGTCTGGTAATTTAATAGCTAGAATTCTTTATAAGAATCACTTAGAAATCCTGGTTTTCAGTGTCATATAAGGAAATTAGAAACTACACATTAAAGAACAAAGATGTATGAAGTAAAAATTGAGCTAACCCATTTTATTTTGCCCCTTCTTGCTACTTCGTGCATATTCCGTAATAACTGGTCTGTTGGCCATTTCAGAGTAAATTCCAGGAAATCTGTAGCTTCCTCCAATCTCTTTGATTGTTTTTTTTCACTATTTCCTCTTTTTCAAATGTGTCTTCAGATAGTTGGAGATCCTTTGTACCTTCTCTTGTTTCAAGTGTTTTATCAATGGGCTGTGTGTGAGGTGAAGAGAAAGGATCATTTTTATTTGGCAAATGGAAAACAAAAAACAAAAAAAACAAAGTGCATGTAGAGATACATTCTGTAGAAGTGGGTCTGAAATGAGGGTCTATCTATTCAGAATCATTCAGAATAAAGCTCACTGAGAGAGTAGTGCCCAAAGTGGGCCTTAAGGAAAGTGAAGTGTAGTTCTTCAACATTCAGAGATGTGAAGGGGGAGTGCATTATAGGCTGACCTACACCAAAGTAGGAGACAGCAGGATGAGATAAGGAGACAGCTCCAATTTAACTGAGGTGTGGAATGTGTGCAGAGACACAGTGTAAAATAAAACCTAAAAGGTTTTTTGGAGCCAGCAAGGGGAGAGAACCTTAAGTGTCAGGCTAAGGAATTTGTTTTTAATTTCATAAATAATAATCACTGAAGCTTCTTGAGCAAGGCATTGTGGTGGTTGGCCCCTGTGGTTTAGGAATACCAATCTGGTAGTCATGTGGAAAGGAGAGAGAGTAGAGGCAGGGATATTACTGCAGAATTAAGAGACCATTGCAATAATCCAGGTGAGAGATAATGAGGGCTTGGATGAGGGTGATGGCTGTGTGAGTGAAGAGAAAATGGAAGTGAGAGATTGGAGTTTGGAGGTAGAGTCAACTAGATTTAGCAACTAAAGGATTTTGGAGGCTGAGGGGGAGTGAAGTTGTGAATCCGGGTGATACTTTTACTTTCTCCTGAGAAGATGCCCTCTTCTTTCTTTCATGAATCATAAACACAACCAGTTTGAAAAAGGAACTTGAGGAAAAGCTAGAATTTAGGAGGGATAATTGGGATCTTCTCAGTGCAATATCTCTTTCACTTAATCAACAATCATTTTTCAGGGACTACCACATATTAGACACTCAAGAGGCAAAGACAAAAATGGACCTTACACTCTATTGTCTTTTGTGTCATTACATTACTCTATTTATAACACCCTCTCCTTCTGACCTCCCAACTGCTTGAAAGTAGTGGCTATCCTTTCTTCATCTATCTCTCTCCTAGACCTCATACAATACTTTTTCCAATACTGTAAGGAGCTATGATTTCATCACCACAGGTACTCTCTGTCCTAACCCCACTTGTAATCCTTTACAAGTTTGTGTAGACCACCTTTGAAAGTTGCTGGAGCTAATTTTTTTTCATTTTATGGTCACTTTAGTCCACTGTGGTCATTTTGGTTTCACTTTGTGGTCCCTACTAGCTAGACGGGTTCTTAGACACAGTTGGTCATTAACCCAGTACTTAACTTTGTTGTAGCACCTGTCAAAGCTTCAGCTCACTTGGCAGAGCCTTGAAGAATTCAGATTCACCTCTACTTCATGATGAGACATAAGAGGAAGACTTTAGTGTGGGAGACGTGATAGACACAATCAGACAATAAATTTGCGCTATTTAGGCAGCTAAATTGAGAGAGCATTTCTTAGGTGCTTATTATGCCCTGATCATACACTAGGCATGGAGACTTAGAAGCAAACACCAAACAGTCTGCCCTTGATGAATAGCTTACATTTTATGGATTGTCAGGGGACACTACATGGACATGAATAAATATATACAGAACAGATGCAAAAGGAATATAAGGCATTAAATGACCAAAAAAAATCATTGAATTGGGTGCTGTGTTCTATTCATTTTAGAAGCTTTTATTGTTTTGGATTCTGCCATAGATCCATTATAATAAACCCTCCAGTTTCTTCAAATGATGGATATATCAAGGAACTGTCAAGTGTTGGCTCCTTAGATCCTGGATTTCAGGAAACATGTTGGATGCTGGTAAATAAGGATGATCAGTTTGTAAGCTTCTTAAGGGCAAGAACTAGCTCTTATCCCCAGGGCCCAGTATAATACTAGATGTTTAATACATGTTTATTGAATGAATAAATATTTTAAAATTATGGATAAGTTAGGGTCAAGTTGCTTTGAGGTTGTACCATATCATGATTACGTGTACTGTATTATATTTGCTTTTAAAGATGACAAGTGGGCTTAGATTCAGGAAGACCCAAGTTCAAATTCTGCTTCAGACTTGCTAGCTGTGTGACTCTGGGCAAGAGAGTTAACTTTTTCTAGATCTTCGTTTTCCTTATCTGGAAAATGAGAGGGTTGGACTATGGTCTCTTAGGTCCCTTTCAGGTCTAAATCTATGATCCTATGAACCTTTCATTACTGTATCACTTTTTTTTTTTTTGTCGTAAGGCAGTCTGGGTTAAGTGACTTCCCTAGGGTTACACAGCTATCTGAGGTGGGATTTGAACTTAGGTCTTTCTGACTCTAGGGCCAGTGCTCTATCCACTGTGCCACCTAGCTGCCCCCCTACTGTATCATATTAATACAAATAATATGCCTCATACCTGAGATTTCTTTGAAAGAAAAAAAGTATAGTAAGTTATTATTATAAATATTATTACAATATCATATAATATTATAAAATATAGTAAGTCATTTTTACTATTATAAACACCCAAATTAACTACATATCTGCATCCAGAGAAAGAACTGATAATGGAAGTATGTAACAGAATAATTTTACGTGTGTGTGTGTGTGTGTTTCTAATGGTAACCATCTCTTGGGTGGGGTGGGGGGAGGATAGAAATAAATTTGCATGATAATTTTGTTGTAAATGATTTGAAAGAAATAGCAAGTTGTACATAGGTTTGCAGTTTCGTATACAATCATCTTTTTGTTGTACTATGTTATGAAAATGCTTGTTTTATTCCATAAATATGTATTAATGTAAAAAAAGGGAAAATATATGTATATATGAGTACATGCATATACATATGTATACACATGTACATATATATATGTGTGTATATATATATGATTGTCTGGAAAGTAATACTTATTATAGGTTGCACTCAGCTTTTAGAAAATCCAGATTTGAGAAAATGTTTTATGTTTGAACCAATACAATATTTTCATTTATTCTAAAAAGTCTGTTGTAAGGAGAATTCAATAACAAATCTTTAATATGCTGTAATAAGCCTGTAACTTCTGTGAAATTGAACTATCTTAACTTGAAATACCACTTTGGTTGTAAAACCTGGTTTTCCAAAATTCTGATAAAGGATAAGTTGATTTGGAACTCTTGTCTCTTCTTTCAGGTGATATGAATTTGAAAACCCTTGGATTTTCCAGCTTAGACTTCATGAAGCTTAGCAGTTTATATTATCATCTGCCTCATCTAAGGGCTCATGAAAACAATATTTATCCAAATATAATCTTTGGGAAAAATAGAACAGGAGGTGAGCCATAAACTTTAATTTGTATCTGTGTTAAAGCTAAGGGGATCGAAAGAGGGCTACTGCAAGCTACTTGAGGATAACTTAATTCATTTAGTAACAAACCTCTGGTGGTCAGTGTCAGTGGAAGCCTTCAGGCAATGGCCAGATGGTTGCTTGTCTAGGATACTGTAGAGGGGAATCTTTGAGGTGCAAGTTGGACTAGATCAGAAGTGGGGAACCTGTGGCCTCTGGACTAGATGGTCTCTGAGAGTCCTTTTAACTTGGAGATTCTATAATTGATCATTTTCTTACTTTTGAGTGCCAGCCTGTTATATAGGAACATGAGAGCTCAATCAAGCGTTAGCTCCCTTGGAGCACCAGAAAGAACCCTGGTCCTGGAGCCACAGGACCAGGGTTCAAATCCCCTTCCAGCTATAATTCTAAATCTATGATCCTAAGACCTGAACATGAGCATATCTAAAGAATTGAAGGGAGAAAGCCCAGGACTAAATACTGCAAACTGTACATGAAAATATGATGTACTGATGGGCATAAATAAGTATATTAAAGATTCCAGAGATGGGTATAGCATGGTTTATGTTGCTGACATAACATGACACAAAATGAGTCCTTTCCCACTTACTAATATAGTTGTTCCCCTCCTTTTTCATATATTATCTTTGTCACATCAAAAGAAAAGTCTTATGGCTAAAAAAAGAAAGTTTATTACTTGAAATGATTCAGCTCCATCCTCTTGTGTCTGCAGTCTCTGTGGTGATGGGTGTTCCCACCATAAAAAGAGAAAAAGAAAGTTACCTGATACGAACGCTGACTTCTCTCTTCTTCCAAATGTCCAGATTAGAGGAAGAGGACTGTCTTGTGATTGTCTTTGTAGCTGAGGTGAGTATGAAAAAGTAGCCATTTGAAGGATAATAAAACACATCCTCACACATCAAAACAAAAGTTTTGGTTGGTGGTGTTTATTAAGATTTCATCCCCCAGTTCTCCATTAGAATTAGTCTTAGGAAACCTGACCTTGAAGGAGGCACTTATTGGCAGATTCTCACACCTGATAAGTTGCAAACTAACAGGTTATAAGTGTTTTGCAGGGGGAAAATGTACAATATATCCTCTTTAGAAATTTTAGCTCAAAAACAAATATTCCAATCTGCTAATTAACTTATTTATATAAAAAATTTGTTTGTAAATGAATACACCAATAATAAAAAAAATTCCCCCTTCCTTTAGTTTGTTAGTAGGATTATGACTGGTTTCATACTTTCTCTCTCTGGCAATCAAAATACTATACACAGGTGTTTTAGAAGTCCTGTGGCTCACCTCCCACAAATCATTCTGTCTGAATGTGTGCCAGACATTTCACTAGGACCTTGGGGATATAAAGACAAAGTGACAGCTGTTTCTGCCCTCAAGGTGCTTATTATATTCTTGTGAAGGAGACAAGAAATATGTTTGTGTGTATGTGTGTGTTTCTATATCTATGTGTGTATATATGTGTGTGTATATATATATATATATATAAACATAAGTGGATGTGCATGTATATATATATAATATGTGTGTACACATACACACATATATATGAGATACATAAAAAGGTAGGTAGTTACCCTCTTGTGTTATAAAGTTTATTTTATTAATTCCATACTGAATTGATAAATAGACATGAGGTCATAAATATTGCTCCAGATCTTCTTCCCTATTATTTTTTTAGAGGATTATTGACACTTTGTTTTACCTCTTGTTCTATATATTTACACTATTTTATAGCTTTATTCAGACTTTTTTCTTTCTGCCCCTAAACTTTAGCTTAAAAAATCTCTTGCCAAACATGCTGCTGCTTTTGCCCAACACGATCCATCTCTTGCCAGGAGCTCTTTGTTCTGCTACCATAAGCCACGGCAGTACAGAGCCAGCTGTTCATCTCCCATACCCCCTGTTCTTTTAGTGTATGACCTTCAACTGGAAGACAAAATAAAAACATCACCCATGCTCCCAGCCAGAATTTCCTAGTCCCTGGATAGACACCTCAGGGTTCTTCTGGCTATTCCATGTGTACCTTTGTGGATTAGCTTCAATAACAGGATTCTTCTTACCAGCTAATACCCCCGAGTCCCTGCTGTTGCATTGCGGGACATGAACTGGTGCTGTTTAGTCACTCAACAAGCATTTATTGAGCCTCTGCTATGTTCTAGGCACTGTGCTAGGTGCTGGGGATACAAAGTCAAGACTAAAATCAGGTTCTTGGCCTCATGGAGTCTCCATCCAGCTCAGGGAAAGTATATGAGTACATACAAAATAGATACAAGGCAATTTCATGTAGGTGGTGGTGCTTCTGCTTTGCTTTGAAGGAGGCTCAGGATTCTCAGAAGTAGGAGTGCACTAGAGGTAGTACATTCCAGATATGGGGGACAGCCACTGAAAATGCATGGAAAAAAGTAGATAGGACATTGTACATAAGAAAGAGCGAGAAGCCTGGTTTGAACTGTAGCGTGCATGAAGGGGAGTCATGTATAATAAGCCTAGGAAAACAGGTCAGATCCAGATTGCAAAGGGCTTTAACTTCCAAATAGAGGAATTTGATACCAGGGATAGTAGGGAGCAACTGATGCTTATTGAATGAGGGAGTAGAGTGGTCAGAACTATGCTTTAGGAAAAGCACTTTGGCAAATGTGTGTATGTATGGTGGATTTGAGACCGGAGAGGCTTGACACAGGTGACTTAATTAGTCCCTAATTTGGATTAGTAAGTCTGTAATTCAAAGGCTGTTGCATTTGTCCAAGTGAGAGGTGATGAGTGCCTGACCTAGGATGATGCCTGTGTTAGTGGAGAATGTGACAGGTGTTGTAGAAATAGAATTGATAGAAAACTAAAAATAAATAATTTTTTTTAAAAAAGAAAACAAAACAAAAAGAAGAAATGGAATTGACAAGACTCGGCAAATGTTTAGATGTGTAGGATGAAGGGTAATAATGAACTGAGGATTGTTCTAAGGTGGCGAAAGTAAGTGACCAGAGGGGTGTTTGGTGCTTTTGACAAAAATAGGGAAATTCTGAAGGGGGGGGTAGGCTTTTGGAAAAAGATAATGAGTCCAGTTTGTGTATGTATATTGGGTTTGAGATGCTATCTGACATACAGTTTAAAATGTCCAAGAAGTTGGTGATTTGGGACTGGAATTGGGGAGAGGGAGCAGGGTTGGCTAAGAGATATAGCTAAAGAGATATAGATTGTGCAATTCATTGTGCTAGGAGCAAGGGTGCTGGGAACACACATAGAAAGTCTCTGAGGACGTTATATATAATTGAGGGAGCTGAACAGCTGGACTGAAAAGCAGGGTGGGGAGTGGATCCAGACAATAGTCTGGGGAGTGAAGGGCTGAGCCAGGTTTGAAGTGAGCATGATTGGTGTGGCTATCAGAGGGAGGTTCCAAGGAGGAAGGAACTTCCCAATCAGAGGAGGAGGCCATGAAGGTGGAGTCATTGCCAGGGTGAGAAGGCCACTGGGACAAAAGTGAAGTGTTTGATGTGTAGATTTGTGAGTCTTCTGCAAGGGGTGGGGCAGCTAGAGAAAGTGGATAGAGAAAAAGAACCCTGGACAGTTTTAGGATACACCAAAGTTAGGGAGAGGATCTTCAATTTCTTCAGAAGAACCAGATGTAACAACTCACCACCCAAGTGATGGGAAAAGCTGCCTACACTTAATACTTCTCACTACCTACTCTCTTAATTCCTTGCCATTTGGCTTCTCTCCCCAGAATGCTGCTGAAATCATTCTCTCAGATGTTGCCAATGATCTCATCACCAAAATCAGTGGCCTTTTCAGCTTGCTTCCTCCTTGATTTCTGTCTCATTCCATTACAACTGTTTTGGAGATTTAAAGGATGTTTCACAAAAGAACCAGATGGGATCAATGAATAATACTTAAAGTATTAAGCCTTTATTCTAGTCTGCTTTAAGCCACATAAAAGAAAGTTCAGTTTAACTAGGGACTCTGGGGGTTGGGAACACAGGTGCATACACAACAAGGAAACTATATAACTCAGGCAGTCACCAAAACTTTCAAACCAAGGCAGCAAAGGGATCCAAACAGAGGACTCCAGCCAGGGCTATTTGATGATGCATGCAAAAAGGTCATGGGTTTTTCAGAGATGTGGTGAATCTTCACTCAGGCACATTTTATTATTTTCCCACCTCTGATAGCACAGGCAGGGAGATGCCAGAGTAAGGTTTATAAGCATGGGGCATAGAAGTTCCCAGGTATGGAAGATTGAATGGCTGGGTGAGGGGGAGGGACACAAAATAATAGTCAGGGTGTATCCTGAAAAGGCAAGAGAGACTCAGTGTGGCCAAAAAAAAGGCATAATTTTTGTACCAGCACAGCTATTCTGTAGCTTTTGACAACCTGCCTTCTTCTGGGTACTCTTTGGCTTCAGAGACATTAAGTTTAACTGATTTCCCCTCCTCTGACTCTAATTACACATCTGTCTTTCCTTCTGAATCCTTATCATTCTCTCATGCATTTTAGGTGGGTCTTCACAAACATTCACCTTCCCATCACCTCCTTCCACAGCAGGATCATTCACTCTCACAGCTTCTACTGTCTTCTCCATGTATTTGGGTGTCCCAAATCCACCTCCATCCCTTATCTCCTGAGTTCCAAACCCACATCTTTCCCTGCTTCTCCCATCAGCACCTCAAACTCAGCATGACTCAACCCATGCTTATGATCTCTTCCTTTTCCTGAGCATCAGAGTCAGAGGCAATTAGGATGCAGCCAGGCTTCCGTGTTTGAAACTAGGGTTCTGTTTAGTGTGCTCCCTCTCCTTCAGATTCTCTTATTGAATGAATTATCAGGTCCTGCGAATTTGACATCTGCAATAGCCCCTGCATATCAGGCTTCCTTTCCCACTGCTGCTACCCTTTCATATGTTTTCTGAAAGGACTTCTTGACTCTAATTTTTTTTAATTAATTTATTTTTAGTTTTCACCATTCACTTTCATAAGATTTTGAAGTTCTAAATTCCCCCCTTCCTTCCACTTCCCCCTCCCCAAGACAGCATGCAATCTGATATAGGCTATACAATTATGATCATATTAAACATATTTCCACATTAGCTATGTTGTGAAAGAAGAATCAGAACAAAAGGGAAAAACCATGAGAAGGGAAAAAAAAAAAACAACAGAAGAGAAAATAGTATGCCTCGATCTGTATTCAGACTCCATAGTTCTTTCTCTGGATGTGAATAGCATTTTCCATCATGAGTCTTTTGGAATTGTCTTAGACCATTGCATTGCTCAAAAGAGCTAAGTCTAAAAAAGTCAGCTTGACTCTCATCTTGCCCCGCCTCCAGTCCATCTTCTCCGCCTCTGCCAAAATAATCTTTACATAGAGATATGGTCATGTGAGTCCCTTGCTCACAAATCTTAAGGGACTTTTTTCTTTGCTAAATATAGTTCATACCTCTCAGATTGTTCCTTGAGGCACCCCATAATTTGGTATCTTCCTCTTTTTCTTTCCATTCCTTTTTTTCTTTTATTTGGATTGATGATTTCATCATTATAGAGAAACTCCTGATGAAGAAACTCGGAGAGTTGCCTGAAACACTGAAAAATAAAGTGATTTGCTCAGGGTCACACAGTCAGTATATGTCAGAAGCAGGACTTGAACCTGATTCTTGATGCTCAGGCTGGCTGTTTGTGCTCTACGGCACATTGCCTCTCTTTCATCTAGCCTCATTTTTTTTAATTTAATTTTTATTCTTATATTTTATCTCAAATATAAAAAGTCAAAATTCTTACACCAGTCTTCAAAAGAACAGCCTCATATTATGACTTCACATTTTCAGTGCCCCAGTCAAAATGGACTTCCATCTCCCCTAACTT